TAACCATCCATTAATATTTCAGGAATATTATTTAATATTATATAATTTTAGTAAAATATTATTAAAATGTTATAATTATAGGGATACAATCGACCCTCTGTTTGAATTTATTGCCTGATTTCTATAATAATTCTAATTATAAGTTTAAATTTTTAGACTTAAAATGAGACAAATATATTCGAATGTTTAAGAAAGAAAGCGAAAATGTTGAGTGCAAAAAATTCAAACAACACGACGAACAGACTTATTTCGTTTGGTACAAAAAATTTTAAATTTTAAACAATGCAAATAGTTTTCAGACTTTTACTTCTAGGGACTTTAATATATAGAAGTTTGTGGCTTGATCTCTCTCTCTCTCTCTCTCTCTCTTTCTCTCTCTCTCTTCGTTTCTTATCCCAAACAGATTGAGCGCGATTCACGTGGTTGATTGATGCCGGGAAAAATTAATAATTTTACAATATGGACGACGTAAATTCTATGGAGGATAACGCGGTTATGGTTGCGGATGAATTATCCGAGCCATCGACGAATATGAGCAAGCGTCAATTGAAAAGATTGCTGAGAGAGAAGAAGTGGTTGGAGCGAAAAAGCGAGAAGAGGTTAGGAACTCCTGATGTCACGCGGCAGCAACGTACGAAAATCTGTAAATTGCGATGATCCCATCGCGTCATTTTACCCCAAGGCGCCTAGAATAAATCTCCTTATTTATAAAAGCTGTAGGGTAGAATAGTACAATTTCAAAAACGGTTCAATTCTGAACAAGAAAAAATTGAATCCAATTGTCGAAGTTAATTTTTTTCCTATTCATTGGCCAACGTCCAGTAAATTTATTAACTTTTGTAATCTTCATCTCATTTCAAGATACACTCCTAGTTTAATTTGCCTACTTTTTAACTTCTACTTTGTTTTAAGACCCACAATTGATTCCCTGGGTTGAACCTCAAAGATTGGATTATTTTATTTTGTTCAGAATATCATGTTTCAAATTGTATCACCCTATACGTATATATGATTTTCACAATCTTTATGTTAACTTGTATTAATTTGTAAGAAAGAGATTTAATAGTTCCTTACTAATTTTTATATCAATTTTTATTTACACGGAAGGAAATTTATTTATGCAGTCTTTTCTACCAATTTTTGCATTAGTTCCTAACTGTATGCTTGTCAATGCAGATTGCGAGAGAGGATTAAAGCAAGAGAGAAACGTGCGTTTGCACGTGCGAATAACTTGAGCTTAGGTCCGTCCAGAAAGTTCTTAAAGAGAAGCACCATGGCTGAGAGTGCCTGCACGCTCACAGTAACCATCGACTTGTCATTCGATGAGTTAATGATCGATAAGGATATCGCTAAGCTAACGAAACAGATACTAAGGTGCTATACTTTGAATAGAAGGGCTATGGCACCCATGCAATTTTCCCTCACCAGTTTCACTGGCAAATCACGAACCAGCATGGAGAAGCACAATGGATATAAACATTGGGATGTATGTGATTGTAAATAAGTCAACACTTCCTCTTACTTTTAGTAATTAAAATTGACATTATAAACATCTATTTATTAAAGAAAGATGTTAAAAAAGGGCTAATTTTTTTCTAAAAAGGTATAAAAGTAAAAGAAACAGTATTTCTTATAGATTTTGTTCTCTTAGATACAATAAAAGTATCAAAAAGTTCATTTGGGGAGCATTAAAATTTGGATAAATGCATCGTGTTTACAAACTTATTATTAATTTTATCGTATCCAGGAAATCAAAAGGTACAAAAAAAAACATTATTTCTTTTACTTACATCTTTTTGGGCAAAAATCAGCCCCTTTTTAATATCCTCCTTTCTTTTTAAATTATAAAATTTTAAATTATAAAATTGACTATTAAATTTTATTGGATTACACCGGATTAAATTACATTGGATTACTATTCATTAAAAGACTTCGCACATTATATAAAGTTTACTCGGTATAAACTTTTTTCATCTCAAAACGTAAGGAGTCCTTTTTTAAATTATTAAATTAACTGTTAAATTTCATTGAATTACAGGTGAGTTTTCATACGGAGCCGTACATAAACGTTTATCCTAAAGATAAGATCATATATCTCACCAGCGAATCAAACAATGTGATAGATCGTCTAGAACACGACTGCATTTACGTCATAGGTGGTCTCGTTGATCACAACGCACATAAGGTGAGATTTTTTTGGCTAATCGTCCCGTTTTGCGAGTCTATCAAAAGTTTAAATTATAGGGCATGTGTCATAAATTAGCGAGAGAGGCGGGCGTCAGACACGGCCGATTGCCATTAGATAAATTCCTACAGATGAAAGCAAGAAAAGTGTTGACTATTGATCACGGTAAGCATTATGAGAGATAAATTTTCTAAAGCAATTATATTATTGTCGATTTCTGTGAGCAATCTTATTTTTATGATAATCAAATGATGAGGGAAATTAAGAATTTAAACATATATTCTATTACTATTCAAATTTTAACAATAAGTGAGTCATGTATTGAAGTTTACATTTTGAAAAAATGATTGAACTTTTCCAGTTTTTGAAATATTGTTGAGAGTCTCGGAGGGCGATATCTGGCAAAAAGCGTTTTTAAAGGTATTACCGGAAAGGAAGAACGCTCGTCCGATCATTTCTGTGCAATCTAAAGAGGACGAATCACAAGATTCGAAACCTATTGATGTAAATAATGCAGTGCCGGCTGATATAAGTAATACAGTACCAGTTGATTCGAAACCTGCTGATGTAAATAATACAATGTCGATTACTGTAAATAATACATTGACTGTTATAAAAGACATTAAGAAGAGCGATATCAAATCTGAGTGCAAAGTAGATTCGAAGGAAATCTTAAATGAGAGTTCCTGCATAACGTAGAACTGCGAATGGTGTGATTAATATAAAAGACGCAAGCAAAACATTTAAGAAGAATTCGCGACGTGCAAAAGGGAAAATAAAAGAATTTTAAATATAAAAATATGTACACAATATTTATGCGTACAAGAAATCAAAGTATCAAAGATTTAATCAAATCAGATTTTTTTACGTAAATATGTTAATAACATTAAAAAAAATTTTTATTTCATTGACGTTAGCCCTTTTTGCTGTTTCGCGAATACTGCAGAAATCGAAGAGAATCTATTTTATTGTATTATTTTTAAGGCCGTGTACATAATAACAACAGCGTATTTTTGTATCATCCGCCGTGTATTTTCAAATATATGAGATGCGTAGAGACCAGAGAAAGACGGCAAACATCAATTATAAACGGGCTACAAAAACGCGTCAGACTCGACAAACATTTCATCGATGTCTTCTCGCGCATTTGTTTTTTTTTTACACATCTCACAGACACATGTTACAATATAATACATTCTTACATCTAAAATGTTTGTTTGCGCTACCGGAGTGCAGCTTTTATTGATCGTATTTAGGTACCTTTCGCATCCTTACTGTCGTACAATGCCGTTACAATTGCTTAATTGTAGCAATTAGGTCAAACTGACTCTTGAGGTTAAAACGTTTGTACACAGGTGCATATTTATTACATTGCAATTGTACATACGCCTATTTAATCATTCAGAGACATTAAATACAATACCAGTGGTATCATATTGTACATATATATGTATCTACAGTAGTCCCCTTATTCTTTAAGTTCCCCGCCTTTCTACTCTTCGTTACCTTTCTTACAATGAGAGAGTATCGCAAGATTAGATGCAGTAGAGAACAAAGGATACGGGCATTCAACTGAATTCGTCTAAATAAATAAATCTTGCTTTCTTCGCATCTTCGACCAAGATCGATACTTTGTACGCGCGCGAGTACAACGTTGCGATCGGGAGATAATTATGTAACTTAAACGATATATTATTTTCTTTTATCTCAATTTACCATCACATTCGGCCGAGACGATTGTGCTTTAAGCGAAATCGCTATATCGTTGCTGGATTAAATTTTTTATCTCGTTCGCGGCCGATTACAGAGATCAGAGATGGTTTTCTTTTAGCTTAACATCATAACTTAATGTCGCGCGCAATAATTCCTTCGTTTCTTTTTTTTTCGCCTCAAATTGCATCATATTTTTATCTTTGCTATTTCCTCCTTGTCGATTACCTCGAAGTCACTATCGCCGTTGCTCTCGTCACTGCTGGCCGCGATTTTCTTCGCGTCGAAGACTTCCTCCTCGGAAGAGGACGAGGAACTCTTCTTGAAGTGACCGGTCTGAAACTTTATACCGTCCTCTTCGGCGTCGTTCTCGCCGACGCTGAGCTCCGGTTCCGATAGTTCGACACCGTCGGTGCTACCTTCTTCATGGAGGGGCAAATGGAATTCTATCTTCTGGAGAATCTCTAAGAAATTCTCGTCGTAGAAAGAATCTGCAGGCAACGCGATGACATGTAAAGATGTAGAGAAGATCGAATGGTGGATGGAAATTAAAAAGTTTATTTTGCTTTAAATCATCAAGCAAATAAAGCAATAAATATGAAAAAATGCGGAATCGATTATCTAAAGGTTGCATCGAAAATATTTAAAATTCAGTATATGAATCGCGAGTTTTTTGGGATTTGTTGAATTTATTATATATTCGGGTGACAAGTAACTTTGTCGTCAAATACATACCATTCGGAGTGTCCGATTGCACACTCGTCGGTGTTGGCGAATGATCGCCCGTCTCTCCCACTCGAGTTAATACCAGCAGATTCGCTTCTGTTACCACAGGTAAAAACTCATCATCCTCGATATCACTGTCATATTTCCAGTCTGAAAAATAAGTCAAATTAATAAGTCAATAAAAATGTTTCCTCATATAAACGTTATAATATGACGAAATATTGTTGCATTGTGTGTAAAAAAAAGTTTAATAAAGATTTGAGTTTAATGTCGAAGTTCAATGAAGGAAAGATATAAGAGAAAATTTTTTCAGTAAATTTAGTTCTGCTTTCAAGACCGGCAAATAATCGGCGCGCAGTTTGCTTGAACTGGAAATTGTAAAAATTCATATAAAACTATTATTAGGTAATAAGATCCGCTTTGATCGAATACGGATCGGTTATTTGTGTTGAAATTTAAAATTCTCTTAGTTAAAGATTAATACGATTCCTTAATTACATCTCCCAATCAAGTGTTTCAGTCAAAGTTAGATAATTATACGTTGTATGTACGTAATTATATTTTTAAATAGCCCAAAATTGAAGTTAATGAAGTTAGATCTAAAAACTAAATCATTTACGTTTAATCGTTAACACTAAAAGTATTAACGTTTCTTAAACCATTAAAAGAATGAAGCGAATAAATTATTATGAAGATAAAGAATATAATTATAAAAATAAAAAAAATTCAAACAGTTATTTTTACACAAAAAATATAATACTAATCTAAAAAACAGAAATTATCAATAATGATCCTTGGTACTTCTAGAGTTAATCCTTTCTCTTAAAAAAAATTAGACGTTTTCGATTACCTTTGTGTAACATGAAGTAATCTCGTGCTTTGTCAAACTGTTTTATGGGAAATCGCAGTATCAGAGATACCAATAATATGCTGCAGTACATGAAGTACATGGTTGACATATGGATGTGCTCGAGGAACCATATGAGTAAGGCCATGAGACAAAGGGCGAGGCAATGCTGAAAAATTGTAAACAGAATATTAAAATTAAAAACAAGATTAGAATTTTCGATCTTTTCAAGATTCCCTCCTTGCGAGAAGACAAAGAGAATTTACCAATCCTGGTTTTTCGGTCCGCAACTTCTGCAAGGCCATCCATGTCCAGTGAAGTCCACAGCAGTCCCTTCGATCCCTACGTTTATAAAAGATCAAGATTACTATTTTTTTCTATTCAAATTCTTTTGAATCAATTGAGAGCGAGATTGTTACGGGCTGAAATTTCTTCGATATTTATTAACATGTAATTTTACTATTAATAAACGCAAATGATTGACAAGTACAACCACATCGGAGATAATTTGACGATGTAAATATTACACGCGTTATTCAGCAGTTTATCTCGACTAATATTATTCAGCAAAATCTCGACGTATTATTTTTCCACGAAATAAATATAAGTACAACATAATGAGCGTGCGATGCAATAATGCGAGCGATAACTTTCTTTCAATAACTTACACTGCAGGAACCAAGGAGTCTACGAATTTGAGAGTGAATATCAATTGGCTAGCACAATACACGCCGGCAAGTTTATATGGAAGTATTGGTGACGCCATTCCCATCAAGGTATAGATCCTGCAACAAGCAGCACGTGTTACAATTAAGGTTGTTTTGTACATGATACATAAGCATAGTATAACATAAGACCGTCTGGATCAATGAATATCCAGAAAGAGTCGTGATATTAATTTATTTAATACAATGAGTAAATAAGGATAAGTCGATCGCATGTCATTTTATTTCTTTTACCACACATTTTTCTAAAATTTAATTTAATTTAATGTTATTTATGTAATTTATGTATATTTATTTAATATTATTTATATTTTTATTAGCTAGAAAATAGAGAATCTGGCAATTCAAGAACTTCTTATCTCAGAGCCACAATCAACACACACATATAAAAATTTGTCGTATAACAAAGGAAGTAATACCACAAAAGAGATCTATCTGCTTTTAGCTAAAATTACGGAGAATTTTGTTTCCTTTGATGAAAAAATTCTCACTATAGCTTATAGTATTTTTGTAAGAATTTCTCTTTTTTTTAAATTTATGTTTCTAAAAATATCTTAACTTCTTTGGAAATTATAGAATAAGAAATCTTTAAATATATTTCGGAATTTGTATAAAGAATTCTAAAAAAGATAAGACCGTCTCAGCATTTCTGAAAAATATTCAAAAACTCGTATAAAAAATTAGAAGTTTCCTAAAAAAAAATTATATTTGAAAAATTATATAAAGAATTTGAAATTTTTTTACTGGAGTCTCTTTAAGTATTCGGTTTTAAATCGAAAAGAATGTTTCTACACTGAGAAAAAATATCCTAAATTTCAATAAATATTTGAATAGTACCAACTAAATATTTATTAAATATAAAAATATATTTATTTAGTAAAAAAAACATTAATTTGATTTAATAATCACTTCTTTTTATTAAGTAAATATTTATTTATTGCAAGTAAATGTTTAGTTGGCGGTATTTAAATATTTATTTTAATATCAACAGAATTTAACAAAGATTTGATTAATGGGTATCATCTCGAAACCTTACAATGTTCACAAATGTGAATATCATGTATAAAAAGATCTGAAGCAAAATCTATTGATACATAAATTCTGTAAAAATCTCGAAATTTAGCAGTCATTCTCATATAATGGACTCCTGCATCTATTTTTATTTTATCTCGACTAAAAGAGGCATCAGTATTTACGGATTTTAATTTATTTCTATATTATGTATTAAGTATGTATTATGCGTATGTATTATTCATATTACGTATATAACTCATTACAAAATCATTTCTGTGAATCTTATCCAATAAACAATTCGCACACTGGCGCGACAAAAATCAACATGCGAAATAAAAGATTCGATTTATCATTTTAATGCGTAAAATCACGCGTTATCTTCACTTTATTTAAATTTATAAGTTGTATCGTAAGGAAAACAAATTATTACGTGTCGTTTTTAACGATATTCACAGATCATTTTCCAATTTTTTGTAAACATTTATGCTTAATTGGACTAATGCATCGCGTCTCATTGAAAATCGAAAACTGAGAAAAACCTCTCGATCAAGAATCTACACTGAGAAAAAAATTGTTTATTTGACTAAATTAACTCTTTTAGTACACACCTTAGTTTTGAACACCCTTACTATACACGTTCGGTCATTCGTGTTTTGAATTAATTTTCATCACTTTTACAAGTATATAAAAATTATTAAACGATTTTTACGTATATTTTGACATCTTTAGAAACTATTTGTTATATATATTACAGTTATATATATAACATTCTATATATTCATAACAAATTGTAGATAAATTGCTATAACTAAATACAGTTAACAAAATGAGAGAGAGAGAGAGAAAAATATGCACTGTTTCATACAAAAATGTAAAATTGAAACAAAAATGTTTAAAGGAAAAATATGGTTCAATATCTTAAAATTGACATTTCAAACTACTAAAAAAAAATAGTTCAAGTGTCGGCTGTCCAAAAAATTTAGTTATTGAGTAATCTGAAAATGATGTTTTTTTTAATATGCGTGAATGGCTATAAATTGAAGATATATTGTATTTACATTTTAAACAATGCATTTTATTATTGCTATCGTGTTAAAAAAACTTATAATTTATTAAGAAAATGTTCTTTATAACATTACAGACAACATAATATATAATATTACTGACAATATTTAGCATAAAGGTGAAAAAAATCGTGTTTATTAACCTTCTGAGGACCAGCATGTTTTTCATCAACTTTTTTATTTATCATGGAGTTGAGTGGCGAAAAAAGTGGCGCCCTAAAGGGGCCTCCGGTCTTCCAGAAATTAAAATATATTGTTCTGGGGTTAAATTTTTTTTTTGTTAATTCGTGAAATATTCCCGCAATATAACTGAGAATTAGTGGAAAATAAAGAAATAAAATAAAAATTTTTTAGTTACAGAGAAAATGTACACTCTGTATGTACACACGTTGAGTCATTTGTGACCCAGAACAAGTGAACTTCGGAGTTATGCCAGTTTAAAGGATACGCACGAATTGAGGCCGGAAAACTTGTTCTCTGGATACTAAACTTTATTTAGGAATAGAAAAGAGATTAGGAACAGAAAAGAGACCGATATTTGATCAGGTGCTTTTACTATTTCAAAGAAAAGAAATGCGCAGGACACGAATGACCCAAAGGTGCGTATTAAAGATTAATTTAGTTTGTCTTTGTTACTTTCGTTGGAGAATGTATATCCATACAGCACAAATCAAAACCGTAAAAAAAAAAAACAAACTTTATATTTTGCCGAGCGTAACTTTTCATTTTATTCTTATATCTAGTCGAACAAAAATTCGGAAAAAGATTAAGAAAGTTACGCAGATTGCAAAAGCCTTTTTCGTCTACGAGAACGTTCTTTTAGACAGTATATTATTTGGGAAGGAGAAGCGAGGTAAAGCAAAAACGTCGTAAATAAAAAATGGGAAATTGAAACAAATATAAGAGGTGCAAATTAAAACCGCAAATTGGATGGAAGACGTAAAAAGGAGCTTTACAAGCATGAAAGAAGTATAAGCATATAGAACATTCCCGCATACTGAAAGTGAAGCGTGCGTCAATATATACGTAAACAGCGGACGATGAAATACGTCTTGTTGACGCTCATCGTCATTCCAAATAACACCGCGCATTTACGCGCTTTACTACGAATAATCGGACACGCGCGATTACGACACACACTCGTCCGATTACGTGTGCGTGCGCGCGTGCGCACGTGTGCGTGCGCGTGTGTGCAAAGTGTGCATGTGTGCGCGCCAAGTCCCCACGAGCGTCCGTTCGGAAAGGGGGCCTTGACCTAGAAGGCGAAGTTACTCTTGTGCAGCGTGCACACGAAACGTAAAACAGCTGTAATGCCGCGCCGCGCAGCGCGGCGTGACGTCACGGACGGCCGGAGGCGCGGCGCGTCGCACTACACATGAACGTAGACGGGAAAGACGCAACGAAGACGATAACCGTCAACGTAATAAATCGCAATCGTAGCCGATACGAAGACACGATCGACGACCAGAGGAGAGTGGGAAAGCCGTGTCCTTTAAACCCGGAGCTCTTTAAATGCGACAGAATGGAAAGAAACGCTCTCTTGCGAACTGCGTAATTCTCCGAATCCTCCTCCGAGGTTTTTGTCCGACTGGATACACAGCACGGATCATTTCAGCAATGTTGCAATAACGTTGCAATGATGCTGCAACTCAAGGAGAACAAAAAAATCAAAATAATTTGACGTCATATTGACGAATTTACGTCGTTTTTTTGGTCATGATAAAAATCTCGATCTCAGACCTAAGAATGACTTTATACTCCGAATGCGGGAATTTCGGATCACCCTGTATACATATGAAGTCATTTATATATAAAGTCGTTCTTAGATCATCTGAGATCGAGATTTGTATTACCAAAAAATGACATAAATTCGTCAATATGACGTTAAATTGACATTTTGATTTTCTTGTTCTCCTTAGGAAATTTCTGTGCTGTATGAATAAAAAAACAACACGAAAAATTATGACAAAATACATCCATAAAGCACAGATTATATCACAGTAACATTGTGACGTTCCGGTAATATTGCAACGACATTACGAATGTTTCTGCAAATTTCTATACTTTGTAGGATAAGCTTTGTTTTTTTTATCGCTGCACTAGACTTTGTCGTTTTTATTCATACAGCACAGATCATTTCAGTATCTAATATTGCAGCAACATCGCCGTTTTAGCAATATGCAGTAACAAATGGCTGCGTTCAACAGGAAAAGCAGCTTTGCGATGGTTATAAAATACCTCAATATAATTGGTTTATACCATGGTTTAGATCCATAAGGCCCCATAAGGAACAGAAGTCAATTGTATTGAAGAATTTTAGAAAAGGGCTGCTTTCTCTGCTGAACACAATGTTTCTTAATTCTGTGCTTTAGGACATAGACAGTAGATTTCAACCTACCTGAAATTGCTGCATACAATTTCTAAGGTTGGAATTTAGTACCTGTTATTTGCTTTTCATTATGTCCCGAACCTTTCATTTTGAGCACAGGAAGTATGCTTTATTCATACCTTTTACCTACAATACCAGTATATATAATACCAGTAACAAAGAAAAACTAGTTTAGGCATAAAAATCAAAGCCGCTATTCTTAAAAAGGAATGTATATGAAAAACAAGAGAACTGTATACTATAATAGCATATTGTAAGGCTTCCTTAAATTTTATCTTCAGATGTTCTACGAATTATTTTATTGGCTACTGAGCATCTAAAGATAAATTCAAGGAAGCCTCAAATATAAGCCCTGACTGTGAATACGGGCATAAATATATTTCCTTAGTTTTTCGTACACACTTCTTTTCAAGAATAGAGGTCCAACGGAATCGATGCTGCGGAAAAACGATCGGAAAAACAAAAAATTACGCGAGAGATCTTTGACGTGAATGTCGCAAGCGAGCGAAACTGTCGGAACGGCTAGCGGATGAAGAACGTTCCTTTGTCTTTTTTACAACGCAGGTCGAAGAAGGAGGCGACTTTGGAACAACAGAAGGAACAACGCACGCGCACGTGCGCGCGCGCGCGCACATCAACATCAAACCGGAGTGGACTGAACGTCGACGGACTCACCAGAATGTCATGACGAGCACGATGAACAGGCAGAGGTTGACGAAGAAGGTCTTGCCCGTCCAGAGCATCGTCTTCTCGAAAGCGGTGAAATACCGGCACATCTCGTTCCGGCACCTCATGAATCCGGTGCTGTACATATCGGAGTCGCTCGACGACGCGGACGTCTTCTCCTGGGACGGTGGGTTCCCCTCGATCCCCATCGCTCGCCGATACATCCAGTACCATACGTCCCAGAAAAGCCACTCTATGGCTCGGTCCAGGAACCGGCGACCAGCCTGGACTCGCCGGTCCCACGCCCCGAGTCGCTCCATCGTCTCCGGATCGGACTGCATCGTCGGATCGCGTGCACGTCGATCGACGTCGTCGTCGTAGTAGTATCAGTCGTCGGCGGCGTCGACGGCGCTCCACGACGTCCAGCGTGCCTCTTCTCACGTCTCTCTCTCTCTCTTTCTCTCTCTTTTTCACTTAATCTCCTTGGTGGCGCGGGCGACACGTTTCCCGGGTGCAGACGTCACTCCTCCGCTAATTCGCTTCGTCCTATGCGGCTCCTACTCGCCGTGCATGGCACAGACACTTCCCCGCTACCGTCCACACTCGAAAGACGTTCGTGAACGACTGCCGTGCGCCACAGAGGGGTATATTAATAGCGCGCGTGACAGCCTCTAGGGCGAGTGCGACGCGACGCGACGCGACGCAACGCGACGACGACGTGCGCCCCGCCGAGGGTCTTCTGGTCTTCCTCAGCTGCTGCTTCTGCTGCTGCTGCCACCGCCGCCGCCGCCGTCTAAGGCGGGGGGGAAGGGGATAGAATGGAGCGTAGAAGCGAGACGGAACGTGCTTAGGATCGAATCGCGAAACGGAGAAAAAACGGAGCCAGCGACTACAGCTGTTGGCCGAGGAGCAACACACCCCGTCACCCTAATGGGCCACCCTTGTCAATCTATATGTCACTCGGCAATGCTGCCTCCTCTCTCTCTCTCTCTCGTTCTCTCTTTCTCCCTCTAGCTGCCTTTTAATAGGCTGTGTACCTGCTCCAGTACGCACGCACGCAGTTCGATCTCTTTGTCGCTGCGCACTTCGTCGTTTCTCGGGGGGATGAAGTCGCGTTCCGTCGACGATCTGTTCGATGACGGTCGTGATAATGCTGACGATGACTGGGCGGATGAAACCCGAGGCCGACACGGATCTTTCGCGTTAGAGTCTGCGAAATTATATGAGCTTTGTGCGCCGTTTTGCACGACCCGACGATGACGCGCGCGCGCGATGGAGGCCGACTGACGTATACGCTCTACCTACGGGTCTAGTATTACTTCGTTCATATATATGTGTATTGTACGTCGCGCTCTCTCCAGCGCCCGATCTCCGCACTCCCACTCACTCCCTTTCTCTCTCTCTCTCTCTGTCTCTCTCTCTCCCTTTTCTCGTTCCTATCCTCGCTCGTCGTATGGACACAACACGTGACAGTCGCACGCGAGTCATATTTATCACGATGATTTTGCGTACGGAAAGGAGAAAGAATCTCGTCGAAAGGATCTCGAAGAATCTCTTGATAAAAGATCGACGTGAAATCCTCCCTTCTACTTTCCTTTCATGCGTATTATGAAATGAAAAGAGGGAAACAGATACTTGAAGTATACTTTGAATTAAAACAGTATTTGCAATACAAATGTATTTTGTATTTTAACGAAGCACGTTAAAGTATTACGTATTTTGTATTTAAAATCGAAAGTTTCTATATTTTATAATTTAAATAATAAGATTGATTGTCAATCTCTCTTAATATTTGAAATACAAAGTACTTTTATATGCTCCCATGAAATACAAAACACAATTGTCTTGCAAATACTGTTTTTCAAATAAAAGTATTTCAAATACATGCCCAGATCTGCATTTATAAAGTCATTAGGAGTCCAGACAGCACGCGATATTTATGATAAATATTTATTAATATTCATTTTTAAATATAAATAAATATTTCTAAAAAGTATTTTTTACTTTGATTATAATGTATCATTAAGTATTTTCACAGCATTTTACTATAATATTTACAATAAATATTTCATATTATTTATATTTCATATTATAATAAATGTTTATGGTCTGTGCAATCTAAGAGCACAAAAATATTTACAAAATATTTAAATCTTACAAATATCTATAGAAATTTTGTAAATATTTTATAAATATTGTGTGATGTCTGGGAAACGATGCGAAAATTTTCCTTTTCATTATTTTTGATGTTTTTTTTATTATTATCAGTATTTTTAGTACACTAAAAAGTAATTTTACAAATAAAAGAAGGATGTATGAACATGTTATGTTCATACATCCTTTTTTCATTTGTAAAATATATGTGTTTATGGACATATCTCATACATAATTACATGTGTTTATGAATATTTATGTATGTTATGTATGTTATATATATTCGATATATATATTCATGAAAAATTTTTTACCGGGCTCGGTTCAATTTACTCTTTATTTTTTTCTAAGTTTAAAAATTAGAAAAAGATAAAGAGTAAATTGAACCAGGATTAAAATTAATCTTACATTTATGAGACCGGGTCTAAGCGGGATTAACTTCAATCTCGGTTTAACTTACTGTTTATCTTCTAATTCTTATTTGTGTTTCGGTCAACTTTCATCTTAGTTTAACTTATAGCGTTTTCGAGTGAAGTGGGTTTGAACCCGACCCGATTCAGTTAACCCATGTTTGATCCGAAAGTATCATCTCGTCCAATCAGAAATCAAAGTAAAGCATGTAACGTCATCGATCCAACCCAAGTTAGATTCAAACCTACTCCATTCGAAAACGCTATTACTCTTCATCTTTTATTTTTAATTCTAAAAACAGGAAAAAATGAAGAGTTTTCTTTAATCGATTTTTTCGGCTGTTAGTCTCTTACTACGTGAACTTACGCACGTATCGAAACACTTCTCTCATCTTCACGCTTCGATAAGTGCCTAAATTTGCGTGGTAGGCATAATAGATCCAAGTGTATCCAAGCATGTCACATTTATTTTCCTCCGATATCGAAAACAAATTTCTCATACATAAGAGAAATATATATATATATATACCATATATATTTAATAAAATCTATATAGAATAATTTATCTCTTGCCTCGATTCTCCCAAACAACAAACAGCATAAATATTTATTTTCTTTATGACCCAGCAAACACAGATATAATTGCTATGTAACATATTATATATATAAATAATATATATTATTCACATCTACGATAAACTTTAATCTCGGTTTAATTAATTTACTCTTTGTTTTTTTCTACTTACAATTAGTTAGAACAAGAAAAAGATAAAAAATGAGATAGAATAAATAAAAGATAAAAACAATTAAGATTAATATACTAATCATCTTCCTCTCTACATTGACATGAGGAATGAGTTATACAAGTCGATTATCTTTCTCAGTATGTACTGTATGTCTTCATATGTACTGTTTAATCATTCTCGATTATCATTATTACTTAGTTCCCAGGAGGTGCGCGTTACGTTTCTTCATTAATGACACGTATACTGTCAGTATGTTACAAACTGAGCGAACTAGGGGAGAAAGAACGTACGTATGTCTTAAAATATTGGTAAACAGGGCTGGGTAATCATTTAAAATGCCAAATATAAAATACTTAAAAAAATATATTTAAAATGTAAAATGTTTTTCGAATCTCTTCGAATCCACTTTATATGTAAAATGGGTAAATAGATATTTTAAATAGTTTTCAAATACAGAATGGTTTTCCTTACATACATTTTAATATACATTTTTTTAAGTATTTTACATTTAGCATTTTAAATAGAATTACATTTTAAATGGCATTTTAAATGCAAAAATACCCAGCCCTGTAATGGTAAACCGGTTTCCTGTCCCTTTCATATCCGCGACACGTTAGTCGATTTAAAATATTCCGACAGCTGCGACAGGTTTTCCAGCACGTTTCCTTAAACGAGTGCATTGGTCGATTTAATTGCTAAATATTCGAGTTAAAATCGCATATAGTTGAAGCTACATTGAAATCATACATGTGCATATTGAAATAATAAGAGAGAGAGAGAGATCAACCAATCGCGAGTCGAGAAGCAACGAATGACGCGCTACGCTACTGAAGTCTCGCGTATAGTGCATGTGATTGGTCGATTCCTCTCCGTGCGCTTTAACTTTAAATGAGACAGTGGAATAGGTCAGTTTTCCCTCAGCTCTTTATAAAGATTTGTTCCCCTTCCTCTTTCTGACGCAATCATGAGCTTTCTTCTTCTCTTCTTCATTGGCTGCGTTCAACAGAAAAAAACTAATCAGTTAGCGCTTAATGATTCTTTAATATGATTGGTTCTTGCCTTTAGTTCTTCACTGGATCTAAGGAACCAATTATATTGAAGAATCACTAAGCTCTAACTGATTAGATTTCTCTGCTGAACGCAGCCATTATTTTATTCTTTCTCCGATTTTATAGTACTTTATTCTAGTAGGAAAATTCGCAAAAGAAGAATAAAGACGGTATAATGTACAATATCGGGACATAAGACATCCCAATTTTGGACATTGTCTGTCTGGATAATTTTTCTATATTTCTCCCCCCAAGTTTAAAAGCCTCAATTCTAATTTGGCCGTAGCTCTCTCCTAAATAAATTCCTGGCTACGCCCAAGGATCTAACCAGGTCTAACCATTAATTTACACAATCACCGATGCTTACGAAATTCTTATTAACTTTAATTATACAAAAAGAAATAAAGGTGCATACACTTTCGCTCGTTATGCCAAAACATCTCATCCGCAACTTATCGTTCGCTTTAACGAAGAACGTAGTACACAACTATTGAGTAAGTAAACATAGGATGAGTCATCGACTATACGCGTCATTATACATATATTAAACATACATCTCTCTATCAGATAAACAAATTTGATGAGATAACGAAATATATGACTCAGTTAAGATTATATATTTTTAATATTTTCGATATCTCAAAATGTATATTGTGTGTTCATAAATATTTAATCCCAGACAGCACACAATATTTATAAAATATTTACAAAATATTTATAAGATTTATTTTAAATAT